CACTCACACACACACATCATCCAGCACTCACACACATCCTCCAGCACTCACACACACATTCTCCAGCACACACACACACACATCCTCCAGCACACACCCACATTATCCAGCACACACACACACATCATCCAGCACTCACACACACGTCATCCAGCACGCGCACACACTGCATTCATTATACACACTCTTCACTCACTACAAACACACTACATTCACTATACACCCTCTGCATTCACTATAAACACTCTGCATTCATTATACACATTCTGCACTCACTACACACTACATTCACTATACACACTCTGCATTCACTACAAACACACTACATACACTGCATTCATTGTACACACTGCACTCACTACAAACACACTAAATTCATTATACACAATTTGCACTTACTACAAACACACCACATTCATTATACACACTCTGCACTCACTATACACACTCTGCATTCATTATACACACTCTGCACTCACTACAAAAACACTACATTCACTATACACACTGCACTCACTACAAACACACTACATTTATTATACACACTGCACTCACTACAAATACACTACAATTATTATACACACTCTGCACTCACTACAAATACACTACAATTATTATTCACACTGCACTCACTACAAACACACTACATTCATTATTCATACTCTGCATTCACTACAAACACACTACATTCATTATACACACCCTGCACTGCACTATATGCATAGGAGTTTAATTTTTTTTTTTTTTTTTTTAAGGGGGGGGAGGAGGGGAGGCGGGAATCTTGGGTGAGTTCCCACACTTTTTTCCCCAGGACTTGACCCCTGGGTGCCCTTCATATCTGAGAGTCAAATAGAAGCGTCAAATAATGCGCTTACTGCGCAGTTGCAAACATTCTAATTGTTTTGCTGCTAATCTGCTGCTTACATTTGAGTTTCAAAAAAGTCATTTTTTTTGGTGCTAAATAGTATATTTGGGGTGTTCACTTCATATCTGAGAGTCAAATCGAAGTGTAACTTTGATTTGAATTTTCTACATCGGTCACTTGTAATATTGTTTCACACCTACAACACTTGTTACACAGATCTAAGTGACAGAAAACAGATTGATATTTTCTATACTAAAAACTACCAGAAAACAAGCTGCTATATTTAAACCAGTTATCAATAGCTAAGAGGTACTTCAACAATATTGTAATTCTGGGGCAATACCCTAACAAGTCAAACTGAAAGGTCAGTTTATAGGGAAAACTGTTGCCTGGATACAATTCTAAAAAATTTCCATATATCCTTTGCAGACTTTACATTCTGATAAAACACAGGTGCCAACTGCTGTGGCTTTCTGCAGTGTGCATACCGGCAAGGAGGGCAGGGTTGAAGAGTTGGTGGAAGATGATGTGGAGGATGATGAGGTCCTAGACCCCACATGGAATCAAGGTCATGCAAGTGACGTGTGCAGTTTGGAGGTGCTGGTCGCACAGAGGAACCAGCACAGCATAAGAGGGATCAGGATGCAAAAGCGGAGGGGCCGTCCCCTAGCACTCGTCGGCATGTATTAGCTTGAGAATTACCAGTTATCCAAGTAATGCATGTAGTGATCAAAGGATCCATAATAGAGTTGAGCGATCCCAAACTGCAAAGTTCTAAGATTTAACGATCCATTCGTAGTTTCACATTCAGGTGGGCGTTCCGGTGACCAGAACCCAGACACTGTCTGGGCGGCGGTCGGACGACCGGGACCCAGTATGCCTGATGTTGAAGTTAGGAGTCACAGTGTGGAATGGATTAGCAGGGTCTGGTGCAGGGTAACCGCACGCCCCCTGGTGTTGAGCACCAGCGTTTGTGCAGCCACATACCAGGACCCTGATGCAGCTTCTGTAAAAAGAGTACTGGATACCAGAAGCCATCACCAGACTGATCAACTTAGAACAGGATGTGACATTCACTGTAGCAGCTGTGCACACTTTTGGTGTTGTCACCCTGCTGCTGCTCGCCTGTCTGTGCTGCAGCGTAACTTCGGATTCCCTCTCACCGCCTCATGAGACTGTGCGAGCAGCAGCAGGTGAAAGTGGAATTTCAGCTGCAGCATGCATGGGTCAGTGGCTCTGCACCAGACTTCCATCCAATTCATCAAAGTTAAAGGATTTCAAGTGGACTCATTACAATTGCAGGGCCTCTAAAGAGTCCTGTATTGTTATTTGTCGTCACTACCTTCCCGCGTTGAGAGTGGGTCATTTGCGCGCCTGCTGCCTTCCTTGCATGTGGTAGCCATTTCTCAGGGTCCCTGTACGGAATGGAACCCTGATTCCCCGTTACCCGTGGTCACCATGGTAGGTGTAGAAACTGGCATTGAAAGTTGATATGGATGACATCCGAATGCAAAGTCGCCATCACAGGGATGTGCGATTGGCCCGAGGTTCTCTAGAGTCAACAAAGTGCCTGCGCAACTATAATGTCAACAGCTACTCTGCGGAACAGAGTTGTCTTTTTTATATGTCCCAATATTTTGGGGGCTGCCACAATAAAAAAAAAAACCATAAAAAACAGTGTTGGCTACCTCCTCCTCCACCGCCACTTCCAACTACACCACCACGGTCACCACCTCCTCAACCTATGGGTCGCTTAGTATAAACTATGTACACAATAGCAGAGGCTTATGAAGGCCTTTTCTCCATATCATTAGGAGTTGAGCTCAGTTTGAACAATGAAAGAGAATAATCTGCACTCCAACCCTCTCTCAAATGGATAATTCTGGTGATCCTCCTGACAGCCATGCTTTAGATTTTGATTTATGTTCTTCAAAAGCTAAAATCAAAGATTCCATCTAGTGCTATTTTATGGCTCAGCTGTATTTTTAATTTTTATGTTATTTTAAGTAATTTCCCTATCCACATTTGTTTGCAGGGCACTGGTCCTACTCTTACCCCCATTTTACTTCATTTTGCAGCTCTCTAGCCCTTTCCAGGAGTTTTTTAGAGGCATTTTTGTGGCCAAAAGTTCGGGTCCCCATTGACTTCAATGGGGTTCGGGTTTGGGTTCAAGTTTGGGATCAAGTTCGAGCCCGAACCAAGACTTTTTTCAAAGTGTGGCCGAACCCGCCAGACCCGAACATCCAGGTGTCCGCTCAACTTTAGTAGGGACCAGAGAGTAAGGCAAAATAATAATGGTAGGAGAAAACATTTCATGTGAGCTTCCCAACTCTATGTCCAAACTTTCAATGTGTGGCCATTGCATAATGTGATTAAACATTCAGGGGTAGTTGTGAGAAATGCTATCCTGCAGCACAAATATAGACCTTTTAAAATATCAAAAGCAATTGAAATAGCTCAACACAACTAATGATTCAAGTGGTTTTCCCAAATTCCACTAAAACTGCAACTTATAAGCTATTTCAATTGCTTTTGTTTGATTTGCTCATTGCAAACAGCTGAAGGATTGTAAATTTTGACAATACATTTTATTTTCAATGGTGGTTGAATAATTTTGATTACAAATGTATATAATAATTATCAAAATATGAAAATATTTATTTCAAAATGTATTCAAAAATATAAAATAATTTGCAAATCTTATCCAAAAATATTAAATTGAGGCCATAGTTCTAACTATCCACCCACAATCCTAGTTTTACAGATTTTTGTATCCACATGAGTGTTGATCTGCAATAGCCTTATTCATATTGGAGGCTAGGCACCTGGTCAGTAGCAGTGCATAGTTGTTGTATAGACAAGTGCACTTTGTACCACATCTGTACAATGTGGGGGAAATATCCATCAGTTGTCAAAGTTAACTTCTATACAAAATGCTGCTGGAGGTGCCAAAATTCTCAAAGAAGGAGGAACAACATCCATTACTTATTGAGCTTGACTTGTTGGACTTTCTGTGATCAGGTACAGTCACTGGATAATTCCCATGCAGCCATGACACATATTTAGGATTCCAAATCTCTTTCAAGGGCATGATATCTTCTTTGTAGATTATAGCACATTCCCCAAAACTACAATAAAAAAATAAAAAAAACTTTACTAAACCTATTTTTGGAATATAATTTAGCATTGCATTTTTCCTGAAAAAGGAATTTAAGAAGCATTAAGAAGAAGGGATACACTAAGCACCAAAACTACTTTAACTTAATGAAGCAGTTTTGGTGTATAGCTTATATCACTTCAGCCTTACTGCTGTTTATGCAGCCCTAGCCACACGTCCTCTGGCTATGACTCACACAGTCTACTTAGAAACATTGTTTTATTTTTATCCATATCTCACAGAACAGTCTGTTTACTTTAGAGGTGTTTCTCTCCTGCTCTGTTAATCGAACTTTAAATTACAGACAGTAGTCTCCTGCAAGCCTTTGCAGACAATTAACAGAGATAAGAACTTCTAAAATTAAGCAGACTGTGCAAAGGAAGTTTTTGCATTGTAGAGCTCACCAGTTCATTTTTTTCTCAGAATGTACGAAACTGTTGATTTGTCCACCCCTTATGTTCCTGCTATCTTTTTTTTTTATTTGCAGCCTAAGAATGGCCTGTTTCATTTGCATCAAGAGCTCATTTGACTGAATGTTGTGGGTTCACAGCAATGGCTTCCAAATGTGAATGCAACACTTGGAATTAATTCCAGACCTGCTTAACTGATGAAGCAATAATGAAGGAATAGCCCACACCTGTCCGTGAAACAGCTTTTGTCCAATTACTTTGGTCCCTTGGGAAAGAGGGGGCTACATATTAAAAAGCTGTAAACCCTTATGTGACAGAACCATCTGTATGTCTATTGTGGTGGATTCGTCTATTTTGCCCCTTTCGTGTAAATGGCTGTTTCTATAACCCAGCCATACGAATGGCTTTGTTTTACCGAACAAACCTACCGAACGGATGGCCACCCAGGATAGAAGTGTGCTGCTGGTTAACCTCTTGATCCCAATTAGAACGTCGTGGTTAACCGCAGACACTTCTCAATTAAACCGAATTCAGGGTGGCCATCGTTCGCATATCGACCATGAGGCAGCAGCCATTTTAAAACACACGAAAGACCAGCGGTGTTCGGCACTGATTTCATGGAACTAAAAATGGACACTTTTTCTGCCGAACACCGCTGAAACAACATGTCGCCTGGCCACCCCGACGAAAGCGTACGAACACCGGCCGTTCGGGAGTTTTACATCACACGAAAAGACTTAACCCAGATAGCCTTCCCATGGAGTCAATCGCATACCGAAAGACTGTAAGGACTTTGACTCCATGGCGATTGAACTATGCGTATGGGATCTGAGCGCTATTCGACAATAATATGCCCTCAGATCCAGTCTGGGGATATGTGGTGCGCATGTGAAATGTTCGGTTGTTATAAAGTTATATATTTTTATGTATTTTCTGGTCTTTTACTTAAAATGGCGATGTCCTGGAGATAATTTAATTACTTCCCAATTATCTCCAGGGCAGAGGGGAGGAAACCATACTGCATTGTGGGAAAAGCTTGTGACTGTATGTTTGTTATGTCCTCATGTCCATCTGTAATTCCAGTCTCCCATTTGATCCCCTAGGGGAGTGTCCACCAAGTGGGAGACCTACATAAATACGGGCAGGTAGCCCACAGTAAAGCCAGATCCTGTTTGACCTCAATGCGGAGCTTTGTCTCGTTATTGGGGGGATTTATTAATGATGCCTAGAGACTGATTACTGGAACTGAAAGCCGCTTGGTGGATATCTTTGTTCGGCGGTTAGCAGTGGTTCGTGGATTTCTGTTTGGAGCCTTTCACGGATCTCGGTCGGGAGATTACCACTTCCCCTCATGGTGGTTCGTATACTGCAGTCTATGCGAACTGAGTTACTGATATTGCGAAAGGGGAAGGTTAACTAAACAGCGGTTTCTCTTAAAGACACCAGGGGTGTCTTGACACCTTAATCCAATTTGGTTGTTAAAAACATCAAATTAAAGTGGAGTAGATGGCATTTCAAGCACATATTTATTATTTAACTGAACTTTAATTTAACTTTAAACAGTCGAAACAACAAAATTTGTGTCAGTTTCAAAATATTTTCTTTCCTTTCAACTTCTAATTTTTTCCTGTGTTTTCTTTCCTGTTCTCTGAACTTTCCTCCATGTTTTGATGTTTTAATTTAGCAAATGCATCACTCAACCACAATACATGCTTACCATTCCTTTCTGTGGAATATATGCTCAGAAACTCCAGAAATGTGGACAGTTGTTCAGTTAACTGTTTTTGATAGAATAAGGATTCATGTCCAGCAACATTATTTGTTTGTTACTGCAGTCTAAGTATAAGGCAGTATTAATTTCTCTCTCTAAATTGATTTACTTTGTTACTCTTTTTCTATCAATGCATATTACTCTATTTTATTTGACCGGTAAAGTAAAATGGAGCAAATATTACTTACTGAGACATAACGTAATTTGTGGAAGGTAGCATCAAATCGAGAACATAACTTTACACCACTCAGAAAGTGCAGTAACTTGGCCTTTTTTTGTATTTGCATTGCCTTTTCTATGATTCTTTTGAATCATCTGCCATTCATCAGATGTTCTAATTAAAAGCATAATGAACAGGTTTGATATAAGCAGGCAGCAACAAAATAAGAGAACACTGACCATCTTATAGCCTTCAGAAGTTCCAGCATCAATGCAAATAAAAAACAATCAAAAAAAATTCCACACCTTTGTTAGCATTGATAGCCTATATTTTTACAATGATTCTACAGTATCACGAAAGATATGCAGATACTCAGATCTAGCTTGTTTTCTAGCTCATACTATGCACCTTTGTGATATATTCTGTATAATATAATTATATCAATATGATTCTATATTTAAGTATACTTAAGCTCAAGCAGTGGCGTACATACAACCAAAGGGCCCCGGTGCGAAAACTGATCCGTGGGCCCCCCCAGCCCTCCTTGCTTACTCTGCGTGGGCCAGGGCCGCAACACATAGTGGCATGCACCTGGTCGCAGGGCTGCGACCCCTGCGATCGCGGTATGTACGCCAGTGCATGCAGATACACATACACTTAAAGGACCACTACAGACACCCAGATCACATCAGCTCAATTAAGTGGTCTGGGTGCCAGCTGTAGGTGAAAACATAGCAGTTTCAGAGAAACTGTTATGTTTCACTGAGGGTTAATCCAGCCTCATTGACAGCCGCTAGAGGAGCTTCCGCTATTCTCACTGTGAAAATCACAGTGAGAAGACACTGAACGTCCATAGGAAAGCATTGAGTAATGCTTTCCTATGGGCGGTTTGAATGCACGCATGGCTCTTGCCGCGCATGCACATTCGGAGCTGAGAGGCAGATCGGGGCGGAGGGATCCCCAGCGCCAAGACACACACACTCTCACGAACAGACGCATACACACTAGCTAACTAGCTAACAGACACACACACACACTCTCACAAACAGACGCATACACACTAGCTAACAGACACACACATTTACTGACAGACACACACTCAGTGACAAACATACATACACACTCAAAAAAAGGAAAGAGTTAGCGCTTAAGTCCTTAAGGACACATGACGGAAATAGTCTGTCATTATTCCCTTT